GCATCGACAGCCTCATCAGCGGGCAGCAGGCCCTGCAGCCCTCGCCACCCGCCGAGCTGGGCCACCCATCGCTGGGCTTGCCCGGGGCTGAGCTGGCTCCCTCCTGCTCTGCCAGCAGCTCCGAGCCTCCCTGCTTTCAGGCACAGCCCGTCAGCCCCGGCTTGTTGGGCCGGGCCGGCCCTAACACCCTGGCTTACCCCTACGCCGCCTCGCCACCCCACCTGCCCGTGGCACAGGGCAGCTACTCGCCCGGCAGCCCGCAGCTCTACGGGGCTCCCAACAGACTGGCCCTGCCGGCCATGCGGCCCCCGGCCTGCGCCGAGCACAGCGAGCAGCTCCTGGGGCTCTCCGCGTCGCCCCTCGGCCAGTTCGGCTCCAGCAACGCGTACATGAGGCAGCCCAATTTCCCCGCCGGCCTGGAGCGGTACATGTGATGGCGTCGAGGGGCACCTTGGCTGGATATCCCCAGGCTCCCACCAGCATCTCTGGACACGTGGACTTCTCCCTGCTGTGGGGATCGGCTGGGGTGGGGTCGGGGGTCCCCAGCCTCTGGGCTGTGTGTGGACACACACCTGCGGGGGGCCGAACTCCTCTCTTTCTCAGCCTATTTTTAACCAGAGGCAAGGTGATCTATTTTTCTGTCCCATCCCCTCCTGGAAAAGGTGCTCTCTGGCTACATCTGCCAGGCAGGGCTCCCCACGCCCAGGTGTTATCCCTTTGCACAGCCTGACTCCGGGGATGCCGTCTGCCACAGGGCGCCCTAGGGCACCCAGGGCACCCCCGGGGCAAGGAGGAGCACATCCAGGAGGTGGGTGCGTGGTGTAACCGTGCAGGAACTGTCTCACAGATGGGGTTTCTCCTCTCTTCCCTGGGTGCCTCCTGTGTAACTGGAATGAAAGTTATAAAAACAAACCCCACTAAACCAATTCACTGGATTTTAAATATTTAAGATGTTTATCATTTCCTTCCCCTGTAGGAAAAAAAAAAAAAACAAAAACAAAAACCAAACTCTGACTACTTCTTTTTACTATTTTTAAAAATAACTTTTATTGTTAGAAAGGACTTTTTTAAAATAAAGCTTTTCCTTCCAACATGTTCAGTGCTGCTGTTCCTCTGGCTCCGGCCGGACCTTGGCAAGAGGAAATTATCAGTCATGTAACCGGTGGGAGACAGATTTGTGCTGCTGTTGTGACACTGCCATGTCTTACATTTTTAGTGACGCTTTCTAAAGATCTCTATTTTATTATGATTTTTAAAAAAGCGAATGGTAACTAACCACTGCCAAGCCACGTGAAGGCTGCAAGAAGCTCTCTGTCACCTGTAAGGTTTGCCCACACAGCTCTTACTGGACTTGATGGTTTTAATTGCATAGCAGGGAACATGTCTTCCCTCTGAGGAATCCCTTGCAGGTGAAACTCTGATTTAACACATCAAATTAGGAGATTGTATGTTTCCTTCCTAGCAACAAAATCAATTAAAATTTCAAACTGTTCACTGGCCAGGCTGATGCTCTTTATTTACAGGACTGCCAGCCAGACCGTCTCACCAAGTTTGAAGGCAGAATTTCCCATCCCTGGATTTAGCTTTTTTAAAATCAAACATCCTCCGTGTAACAGTGACAAGTTAGCATTTCTCTCCCATTTTTTCAAGGGTGTCCTCAGAAGCAGAGCTGTTTCTCGTAGACCCTATTTCACCTTCCTCTTGCTTAAGGAGGATTTGGATGTCAGTTGAGCTTTGGTGCAAAACTGAGCATCTCATTCCCTGGCTGCTGGTCATGGTCAAAAACTGAGTGTACAGGTGGGTGCCCAAGGAGTCAGCTTTTGCTCACAGCTTTGGGGCTTGTGGCTTTTCATTCTTTTATCCCATGTGTTCTGTAGAAACTGAGAGTGGGGCTAGTCGCAGAGGGAAGAAAATGGTTTTTTCCTCTTGGCCTCCCTAAAATTAAGGATTCATCTGTCTCTAAAAACTAGCCTAGGTCTGGTCTGCTGCCTTTGACTGAGCTGCTGGGCTCTGCATCTCCTCCCCAGTCCCTCAGCTTCACCGTTTCAGCTTTCACACTGGTCTTTTCCCTTAGTGATAGCCCTGCTCAGAGAGGGCATTGTGAAAAAACATATCTCTTGAAATACTTTGACTCTCTACAGAAGATATTTAGAGATCTTCTATCTAACGAAAGTTTGCAAAGTGCCATTCCTGGCCCTAACATGCTGTCTGTATAGATAGACTGGGGGATGTTGAAATAATTGCTTGTAAGAACAGTCAGTAGAAAAGACACTTGTCACAGCTCACATTTGTTCCCAGGGCCTGATCCTGCAATGCTTTGCAAACAAAAGCACTTTTGAAGTCTTGCCTAAGTATCCCTGGGGTCAGAGCCAGACACGTGCCTGAAGCGCTGGGTCTGCCGGCTTCCCTCCAGCATTGCCGGGCACCAGGCTGGGTCTCTGCTGTGTTTGCACCATGAGCAGGAGGGTTGCTGAGGTAGAGGAGAACCAAGTACCGGCATGAAAGGAAAACAGTGTTGAGTGGAGGAGGTGGACAGATGCTGTGGCTCTGCCTGGGTGGGATGCACCAGGAACAGGTGACCTAGCTGGGACATCTCAGACTGGGCTGACCCTGCTCCTCTCCAGTCACCCTGGAGCTCTGCAGGAGCAGGGAGCTAGTGTCAGAAAGGGTTTTCCAAGTTCCTGGCATCTTTGGGTGTTAACTCGAGTGCTGGTGGAGCCAGTGTGCCTGAAGGGCTGGGCTGTGGCTTGCTCTTGTCCCCCAGCCACCTGCACCCTCCTGCCACAGAGCTCTCTGGAGAGCAGCACCCAGCTCCAGATCTGGGACAGGTCTGCAGGAGACCCATCCCACCCCTGTGCCTGTGCAAGAGGAGTCCTTTCAGCTAAGGGAGCTCTGGTATGAAGCAAGAGTCACTGCAGTGGACTGAGTCCATGAAAACCCATCTCGGAGAGAACAGTCACCCTATCCCAGTGTGTCGGGACAAACCCTGGTGTGCAGCCTTGAGTTGCACATCTTCCCAGGGCCCTGTATACCCCCATCTGCCAGACAACCCTAGCCTAAAGCCCCCTGCAAGTGGCAATAAACCACTCTCACTATGGGCCTTACGTTGCCAAACAAGCTGGAAAACATGGAGAACAGACCTCTTTTCTTCTTTTTCCTGTAGATATTAATTCTAACACGCACAAAACTCTGGCAACTTGTATTATGATTGTCATTAAACTAATGCTTTAAGAGTGTCTTCTTGGTTAACTTAATGTATCCCAACCAGGCTTTTAAGCTTTCATTTCAAAGCTTTGTTTACAGTTAGGGTGAATCTAGCAAATGACTAGGATTAAAGTGTCATGTAAAGCATGAGCCTTGCTGGGACAGGGTAGTTTTAAGCTTTGTAAAGTTTATACCTGAGCCCTTCATCTGTTTTAGTGTCTTTTCGATGTCCCTGTTTAGTGAATAAGAGGGATTTGAATGAAACAGGAGTAATTATCACCCAGATTTCAGTTGTGAAACCAAGTCTCCTTTGAAATCCTCCCCTCTTTATTTAGAGAGTTTAGGGAATATTAAGTAATGACAGTCATAACTATCTTGGTCTTGCTCACACAAAAGCCAGAGGCAAAACTTTCTTTGCTCTTTGAGATTGTGGAATGAGCATCATCCTTCAGGGTGATGGCAAGAGGTCCTCTGGACATCCCACAATGGGGAGAGCCCCATCTTGAGCCTGTGAGACACAGAGGAGGGGTTGAGTTGATCCTGAGCACCAAAGAGGTTTGGATGGTGATCTGGGCTATTGCCAAGACTGTCTGACTTTTCAGGGAATGGCCCTTTGCAAATCAGGCTGCATTCAGATCTCTCAGGCTCCACGTTCAGAAACAAATAACCAAAATGAGCTGCCACTTTGAGAAAGATGCTTGTTTTCCTCCGGGAAATACTGGCTGCCCAGGGAGGACCAACCAAGCTGCACCTCTGCATACAACAGCATTCTAAGTGTTTCATGCTTGTACCACTTTCCACACAGGTTAAAACAAGCAATAAGAAATGCTTTTTACAGCTGATATTCCCAAGCTATGAATAGTTTTCCATCTGGTTGCAAACAAACACAGGATTAGCTGGAATTTTAGTTGAAGCGCATTTCCTGAAGAACTTATCTGTCCCTCTGGTAGCGTTAGGTTTTGTCTGGATGCTGCCAGCTGTCTACTGGCAGTCCCAGTGTTGGAAATTTTATACCATAACTCGCTCTTATTTTATGCAACAGTTTGCCCTTTGCAAATACATGGCTTGAAGACAGCCAGCGGTGTCTCCCTGAGGTTAAGATTGAGTTGGTAAAGTCAGCCGGGAACGGGGAAACGTGCAGTGGGTACAGTGGCACTCCTTTGCCAGCTGATAATGAGTTTTTAACAAATTAGTGTCTGAGAGTCAGCACTGCCCAAGCTCAGAGCTACATCTCGGGGTATTGGGGCTCTGTCACCGCCTCTGCTGGTTACTTTTGGGTCCTTTATATTTGGGTCCTTCTTACTCAGGCAGGAGCGGGTGTTGCAGCCGGTATGTTTGAACAGGACCAGAGCAACACTACCCTCCACCCTCCGCCGCTTTACCCCACGGGTGTAACGCCCCGGCGTGGGGGGTGACCGGGGGGAGGTGGCCCGGGGGTACCAGCCGCCGTGCTCAGGCCAACACTGACCTCCAGTGGAAAGCCCTGGGAAGCCGCTCCCGGCCCCCGCCGTGGGCCCAGGGACCCGGGGTGGGGGGGGCTCGGCATGTCCCGGCAGCATCCCGGCCTCTGGGGTCTGTCGTCCTCACGGCTGCGTGGGGAAGGGCAGGACATCGTGGAGGTTCGGGGTACGGTCAGGATTAGAACGGGGTGAGGCTCGTTCGGGGAGGGCCATTATTAAGCACAGTGGGCTGGATGCAACCTCCAGGCTGGGAAATCCCTAAAGCACCAGTTACTGACTCTGGGAAGATTTCAGAGAGGAAGGATTCCTCTGGCTATACCCTAAGCATCTGCTCTAGAGCATTGCTGGGGACAGGGTACAGGGCTGGATGGCGCTGGCTGTCCCCCTGTGGCTCTTCTTCCTAGAGTGTAAACAGGGAAACAAGGGGAAGCACAGCAAGAATCTGGGCCCTGATCGAAGGTGAGGGGGCAGTGATGAAGGAGCACCTGCCTGCAGCAGTCATCCTCGTTGGCAGCCTGACTTTGTGTTTGAAATGTGCTACACGGTGTATGGGAATGGCAGAGCTGGGGGCTGCCCCGACTCTTACAGCCCCCGAGAAGCAAAGCTGCAGTTAGGCAGCAAAGTGGCAGAGCCTGAGCATTGGCAGCCTAACATCAAGCTCTTGGGAGAGCATCCAAGGTCCATTCATTTCATGGTCTTTGTAGTGGGGCTGCTGAAGTGGTTATGCTCCGACAGTTGGTTTTATGCATGTATTGAATCAACTGTGCCAC